TGTTTAACAATGTATCCTTCCTCAAGATCCTGATTTCAGTCCTCCTGAGCTAATTGCCACACCTCAAGGCAAGCTGTCTGTGTTCCTCACCAGTTTTTCCCTGTTTATGAACAGCAGATCAAGTGGTGCATTAATCCTAGTTGGTCTCTCTAGTATTTGCCTTAAGAAATTCTCAACCAAGGCAGTCTAGGAACTTTCAGAAATGACCTTCCACGCAGCAAAATTATCAGATACATAATTTTCGGTATCAAACAAATACTCCTGAAACCAGAGTGTTTTTTGGATTTTGATAGAAACCTGTGCTCCCAACAGGAGATCGCAAAAAACTTAGTGCAGCAAAACTCGCCCTCAGACAGGCAAGCTGAGCTGCTTTCAGACTCCTCCTCCTGCAAAGCTTTAGTCAATGACATGTAGCAGGGCTTAAAAAACTTATTTTAAAATAGAAGTTTTCAACACAAAAAATCTTTCTTGGTCATCATGTACTAAGATTATGATGCTCCCTTTTAACAGAGGGGAATCAGGTTTGGCTGTGTCTGGTAATTGTAATTGAGAGTGGAATAATCTCACGTGTAGTTTCTGAAAAGGGTGGTTAATTGTATTGAAGTTTGCGTCCTGTTTTTATGCAGACACTTTCTCTAAATGTAAGTGCTTGTAAAGAAGGTTTAAGGTAGCTAATTAAATACTTCATTATACAGACCGAATGACTTCTCTGCGTACACTGAGATGGGTTTGATGTTCTGCTAGCTATGTGTATCCTGTGCCCCTCCTTTGCTCACTGGATCAGAGAGTAATTAACTTTGAGAGAGAAGATCCATGAAAGAATTCAAAGGATGGGTTCTGACAAAGAATTTGTCCCACAATTAACTAATTAAACTTTCTCTTGTAGAATATTTTATTTGAAAAATGCAATATGAAGTTTTATTTAGGTACCTCATTAATCAACGTTTAAACAGTAACCTGGGAGGAGTCTACCCTTTGAACTATATCTATGTGGATTTGCATAAGGTATGTACATTTTTGTTTGCCTCAGATGGCATACAGCACAATCCTGACACTTGGATCTGTATTTTTCGTCTAATTACAAAGATCTGAAAGAATGTGTGAACCAGATACCTCTGTTTTGGAAAGCGTAGCATTGTCTGTTATGGTTGCCAGCCAATTAGCATATGTCACACAAATACTTTTATCATCTGTAGAAAATCATCGTATGTGAGTTTAACTTTTATTGTTTCTCACCTGAGATGTTAGAGTACAATCGTGAAATTCAGATTCTCCTTTCTCTGGCATTCGTATCATGTACCTCAAAATTCTGCAAACGGTGTACATTTCGGTTAAGCAGTTTCCTTTCTCCTGTTTGCTGCCATACCATGACCTACAGTAAAGCAAATGATACTGTGTCATTTTGTTAATCTGTACTGGAAGTGTAAAAGCTTTTTGGTTCGGTGTTTGTTTTTTTCCTGAGGAAGTGAATTAACTATATTTATAATTTATTTGTGGTTAAAGATTCCCCTTTTCCCTATTCTTTTCACCCAATACTTAGACTTCAGACATTTTCTGAAACTGCCAAGTGATAGACTTTGAAAAATGTTCAGTGATTTATATGGAGAGTAACAGAGACGCTTCTACCTATCATATCTGAAAATACTGGTTCATGATCCCTATTAGGAGTATCATGTATCAGTTTGTTATTCTTGCATGCTAGAATTTATGAGTATTTTTTACCTTTACATTGCTTTTGGTGAATCACATTTAGTTTTGATGGGCAAGTCCTCATAGCACCTCATAGGTCTGCATGAGAAAAAGTGAAAGTTGTTTTAGATTACTGCAGTATTGATTTACAATTTGAAGGTTTTTTTCATGGCATTGAGCTGACTGTACAAACACTTGATCCAGATCTGCGTGTTTGTCAGCACAGGCAATACATCCATATAGGACTGGAATAAGATTCTTGGTTCCTTATGATGTTTTTTTCTGTACATATTTTACTCAGAGATCTTTCTTACATTGGAGATTAAGCTCTTCATTAATCATTAGGTCCATTCCTGGACAGTGCATGGCTTCCAAGGGTGTCATCTTCTCTCAAGGAAAGGTATAAAGAGAGCACATAAATACACTCAAACTGGGGAATTCAGTTCCTTTCCATAGATTGGTTTATATGATAAATATTTCTTCAAATTACATTATTGTGGATATTAGCATGCTCTGTGTTTAGCAGTGATTAGTGGTTGGGAGGTTTTATTAAGTCAATCATCTGACTTTAAATGTGTGTTAGTTATCTATTCCATGGCATAAAGTTGTTGTGAATAGTAATAATTTCAGATTTCTTCTGTGTGTAAATGAAAGCCATAGCTCAGATAGGCCCTCTTTGTCTTTAGTTTGGAAAACAAACAAAAAAACCTAGCAAGATAAAGATATTTAAAGTATCTTTGCAAGACAAATCAGTTAGTTCTTTTCAAAGCAGTTAGAACAGTGTCATCACAGAATTCAAGAACTTCTCTGATGTGAATGGAACAGAGATCCCAAAAACAAGTGAAAGAATAAAATTCTCAAAAGAATTTCATACATACTTTCTTAAAATGCAGAGAAATGCTTTCTGAAGGAGGCTAATTCTGATTGCCTGTGGAAAAAAAGAAATTGCTGTGGTGTTGATACAAAACCCTTTGTAAGTCTTTTGAAGAATTTTTGTGCTAATTCTCTAAGAGTCTTAGTTGCAAAAAAAAAAAAATCTAATACAATCATGGGGAGGTTTGGGTTGGAAGGGACCCTTAGGTAGTTCCAAGCCCCCTGCCATGGGCAGGGGCATCCTCCAGTAGTTAAAGTTGCTCAGAGCCTCATCCAGCCTGACCATTTTCCAGATAAAAGAAGGTTAGGAGTTGAGCTTATCAGTCCCAAAATTAATATTGACCAATACCAGTTACATTTGTACCTTTTTTGCCACTTTGTTTAAAGTTGGTGTCAGGTTTGAAAGACTCCATAGAGGTGCTGCTGTTTATACCAGACAGGAGGCTTACCAAAAAATAAAAATAAATTAAAGACTAACTCCTTCCCTTATTATAGGAGTTAGCTGAGAATCTTCATATCTTTTCAATTTCAAGGATAATTTCTGTTATTTTCAGTCCTTGAGGAGATTCTCGGTCGTATTAATGAGGAGATGTTACAAAAATCTAAACTACATGCATTTTAAAAGTTAAGACTTGTGCTCTAAGTTCAGCATGTTCTTAAATGCTCTGTTGGGTTTACATGGGGGCTTCTATATGGGTGATAGAATTCTCTCCATCATCTAAGTGTAGTAGCAAAATGTTTACTTTTAGGAGTATTAGTAAGAAAACATATGTAGAAAAATAAAGAAATGTTGTTGTAGGTACAGTCACATTTACTGCTCTGTACCAGACTTACTCTCTGGAAGTGTTAGGGAATGAATGTGCAAAAATCAATTAAGTCTAGTAATTTAACAAATTATAAAAGATCTGTGATATAAGAAGAGTTCTGTGTTTGCAGGTTCTTGCATCTGTATGCTAGTGCTAAATACCTCACAACTTCAGGCTAAGCGAATACTAACCCATATCCTGAGTTCTGAGTGCTGCTCTCATCATGGCATGAGAGACACTATGTGCAGAGGATGGTGCTGTGCCCAGCTCAAAGGGCTTCCTGAGCTCGTTTTACCAGATCACCAGAGATCTGCCCTGCATCCAGCCTTGCTGGAACCATTTAGCTTAGGGAGAGTGCCGAGAGCCAGCCAGAGAGTTCTGAAGTCTGTTGTCCCATTTGAAGTGGAAAGTTGATTGTAATTTCAACCAGAGCTGTGAAGTTAATGTCCTGAAGTTAGCGTTCTGAAGCAGCCGGAAAAAACACCTACACAGAGTTCTGATGTGTGTGCATTATGAGCATCACCTGATTTAACATAATTCTTTTGAGCATACTAAGGCAAAGACAAATGCAGGCTTTGCTTCTTAGGTGACACTTCTTAAAGGAATTTCAAGACTCCTTAAAGTTGTGTTATAATTCAAATTTACCACCTTGTTTAGAGACGTTTATGCTTCTTTGGGTAATTGCTGAAAGAAATTACCGTGTTTCAGCAGAAAGCATATTGCAATCACAGCAGTCCATTTATTTTTTTCAGTCCATTTACTGATGATTTTGCAGTTGTCATTTGAGTGTAGGTAAAGTAATAATAAGCAGAGGATAGAGTTTATCTCCATCCAGAATGTTGTAATGCAGTAATAATAGCAGGCATATTTGTTCTCATCAGTTTGGCTTCCATTTTCTTATTAATGGCATTAAAATCTACAGTTTGCAATTAATCATTTGGAAGCAACATGTAGCACCTTGCTTAGTTTAATTTCAGTTTATTGGGGTTTAAATTCACATTGTTCTTGGTTTAGGTTTTTTTATACTTGTCATGATCATGATCCTAATTTTTCATTGTAAGATTCAAGTATTAAATGTTTACTGTAAATTCTGTCATTGCTTTTGAAAGCACTATGTGAAAAGGGAAACATTTTGAACCTTTGTATAACTTCTGTGAACTTTCCTTTTACAAGAAGTATTTAAACCAGTGTTTTCAGTTGGAAGCAAAACATTGGAACAAAAATGATGTGCATAAGTAATTTTCAGATCAGCTGAAGTGATGGATGGCTCTGCTGGGCTTGAGCTCCCCAGCATGCATCTTCTCAGAACCTGCTCTTTAAGGGTTACATGGTATGGGCTTTGCATTTTATGATGTTGGGAGAATTCTAAGTAGTAAAAATACCACATACTTTAAAGCAGTGCTTGTCTAACCTGTGCTGCTGAACTTGATGTCTCAGTGGAGCAGAACTGTTGCTTTGAGGAACAAGAAGGGGAGAAAATACATTGTAATTATTTACTTTGAGATAATACTCTTTTATTTCTGATGCATGTAGTAGTTAGCAGGTATCACTAGGTTATATTAAGCAATATTATTTAAATCTTGTCTAAGTTGATTTTTTCTTTCTTTCTTCCTTTTTTTTCCTGTCTCTCAGTTTGTAAGACTTGTATCGTTCAACACTTTGAAGACAGCAATGACTGTCCCAGATGTGGCAACCAAGTGCATGAGACCAATCCACTAGAAATGTTAAGGTAAGGTAGTATTTCACAACATTTCCTAAAATGGAAAAACAAAAAATTGAAAAAAAAATCCTAGCATCTTTATCCTAAAAGGGAATTAATTGTTTTGCTTTTTTTTATAATGCATATATTAACTGTTCTGAGCCACATAGGTTGTCATTTTCTCAGCTCCCACTAAATTGTAAAATGGTTTTTTTTCAGATATAATAAAAGGAGGAAAGGTAAGGGAAAGACAATGAAAGACTGGGTATATATTACAAGTTAAAATAAACATTTTAGTACATCTGTTAAACAATTAAATGTACCAGATACCTTTTATTCTTTACATGGAATGAAATTAAATTGTAGAGTTTCTTTTTTCAAATTATTTAGGGCATTCCAATCTGCATGGCAAATTTTTTCTTCTTACAGCTATGTCAAAAATGAATCATGCAAATAACAATGTTTTTCAGGGCATAGATCTGCCAATCTGAATTGAAATCTGCTGTGAGATTAATGAAAAGACTCTATTGAAAAAAGGTTTTGACACTAAAAGTACCCTTTTTTGAGAGTTTGTATTTTTATATCACATAACACACCTTTTTAAAAACAGTTATTTTTCTTGGAATTTTGGATTCTCTTTTAGTCATGTCATGTTGAAATAAAGGTGATAGACGTCCCTTAAGTATAAGATGGAGAAATCAAGAAATGTCATCATAAGTTGAAGAACTTCATGTTTACTTCAAGTGATGAAGGCACTCCCTGCCCTCTCTCCCATCAATCCCCCCACCCCACTGCACCCCACGGTATTCTTATTTTGTAATACTGGTGTGAACTAAGGGAGAATTATTCTTGACTCAGTGTTAAACTATACATTTACATCTGGCATTTTACTAGGGTTGGTGTCACTTCCTGATGTCATTGTGTTGCTACAAATTTGTCATATATTGCTTTGATTTTTGACTCATGTATGCACAACCATTCCCATGCTTCAGTTATATACCAAGAGGAGAGGAGATTGAGACTAAATTCAGCAACTCTAAAGGGTGTTATTGGCCTTAGTCTTTATCATCTGAATGTTTTTGGAAGAGTAGGGCTAAGAGGGCTTATGTAGTAGAAAGTACTTTTCTGATCTCCTGTGAGTATTTCAGGCGCTGTGTGAGCTGTAATAGAAGATGCTATGGGCTACTAATGAGCTGAAAACAAAAGCATTTTAGTAATATTTTTATTTTGATGGGACCATTTCCTAGGAGATGAAAAACACGTTTTCTGCAACATTTTTAGTAAAGGAATACCGTCCTTTGAGCCGGAAAGTAGAGATGGGTGAGAAAAGTTAGAGTGCAAGCCAGAAATGTGGGAAGAGCTATTTTCTGTGTAATTATTTCCTGAAATTCCTTTTTGAGTCATTTGGTCTGTTTTCCAACAAACTGCATATAGTTAGTAGTTTCCTGGTTATATTTTATGAAACAGCTTTAAACATTTGCTAAACAAATAATCAGAAGAGCACATGGGCAGTGTAATAGAATGACCTTTTCTTGGAAGTTGCCTGCATAACTTAATGCATATCTTATGCTCTGACCATAGAGACCAGCCCCATCATTGCTAAAGAATGCAGTCATTTTCTGAGAAATGGCATTGAACACTAGATAGTAATTTTAACTTGAGATCTTTCAGATAAACTTTATGAACTGCTTATAAACTCAATTCTGAGTAACTTCACAACTGTGAGGTTTTTTACATGTATCTCGTAGCTGGCAGCAATTAGGGTCTGTTGAAACTGTGACTGAGTCTGAAACTCAACACTGAGTTCTAAAATGAAAATGTAGGAAGTGTTAAATACTATAATTCCCTTTACTGATTTAGCAGAATTCTGCATCATCAGTACTCAATAGGACTATGTTGACTTTACCATGCAGACAAGCTTCTTTTTCTCTTGGTAGCATTCTTCTGTGCATGCAAGTTTTCCTGAATGGTAGTCTTAGAAATATTTTGGTTCATGTTTGCTGATAATTATCAAGAGAGTATAGATCTTATAAGTCATTCAATATTATAGAAGAGGTGAAAACTATACAAAGCTGACACAAGTGCTTGGTTCTTCTGCTGTTCTTGTTACAGCATTAACAGAGAGTATATTAAATAAATGATACCGAATTTTGCCAAGTAGTTTCGTTTTGGAATGGGTTTGATGCAAGTCACAGAAATACAAATCTTTATGTTAGAGTGCTCGTAGGTTTGGATAATAGCAACACTCTAAGATGCATCTGAAATTGAGAATCTTTTTTTTCCCTATAGTTCAAATTTTCCTGCACTTAAAGATCAGGTAGATCTATTTTTTTCTGCCTCTTTTAAAAGTACTGATTAGTATTTATGCTCTGTATGGACAAAATAGCTTTTTTGTTTCATTTTTGGAAGAAAATAAAGACATTAACTGAAGTGGGAATCTGGTTCTTGCTGCTAGCACTGTAAATATGCAAAGTATGCTGGAGGTTTTTTGCTATTTTAGCGTTACCAGTGACTTTTGTTTTGTGCCGTTGAAGACAAATTAGAAAGTGCTAAGTGGGATCTTTCAAAAATAAATGTAGAAAACCCAGCATGTATTATATCATACTGAGGAACAGTGGGATTTTTAATTAAGGTAGTGATGTTCTCTTTTGAAGTCCTCATTTCATTTCTCTTAATCAGTACGTTATGAAGATTGGAGCTTTCTTAATATGTGACTTGAACTCCATTTCTAAGACAGGTTCCCAAGTTCCCAGTGCTCTGCTGTGGGAGCTTCATAGAAAGCAGTGCCATCTACTTATGTTAGATACTGACAGAGGAGGCTACAAAATACATCATTTGGAAAGGTGGATCTGTATTGCCCTCTGTCAAAAGTTAGGCACTCAAGACATCCCATGATTTTTGTTTCCTTCTTATCTGTGAGAAAGTGTTCTCTGTGCTGCTTTGTTTTAGCAGAGGTACGTTTCACTAGCTGATTTTTTCCTTTTTTTTTGTCCCTGTAAGAAGAAGCAATTAAAAAATGGATTATGGTTGTAGCTTAAACATGAATATTCTTATGGCATGGTTGTATCCATTGATGGATACAATGGATAGTCTCAGAACTAGATGCTTGGGTAATAGGTCTAATTGTAAACTTTGAATTTCAAGTTCTGTAAATTACTTTGAAGTACAAATTTTGTAAAGAAGAGAACTTTCAATGGTCATATATGTATTATAAGAAGATAATTGTTATCCATTAAATATGTACATATGCACATAACAAGTACACATATGTGTATTTGCAAATATATATGTAGAGAAATATATTCTGAGTTGAAAAATTATGGCAGTTAAAAATATACCAAAAGCAATTATTGTATTGTAGTTTCTTACTAAATTTCAAGGTACTTTCTCTGGCCGTATTACTTTATATTTTGTTTTGTCCTGGGTTTTTGTTTGGGCTGTGGGCAGTGGCAGTTCCTGTTCACAAGAAATGGCATAGAGAGCAAAGAAGGTAAAGGAAAAGAAAACACAATAAAATACAGAGGAAACTGAAGAATAAGAGAGACAGGGAGAAGAAGTGGAAGTAGAAAGCAGATGATAAATTAAATGGATAGGAGAGTAGGTTAAATTCAGAGAAAAGGAAAAAAAGTGTTTTAACTTCAGCAGCAAAGGTAACTGCACTGTGTCCAGAGGAAGGGACTGAATTATCTAGTTTTGGCACTGATATCAGGGTATGAGAGAACATGCCTGTGCTATGTTCTGTCTTCTGATATACAAACTCCTGGCAGATTTAAATAGTTCAGAATAATTACGGCTACTGAGAACTGTCAAGTCAGAGCAGCATGGATGCTCTGTGGTCTTCTTTATCCTGCCAAGATCGGTTTGTCTGTGGTGTAGTGAGCAGTTTGTTCAGATTTTCGTGACAGGCTTATTACAAAAGCACTTGAACACTTAATATGATAATGGAGTTTATAATTTTCATGCTTACTACTTATGAGCTGGACCTTAAAATTGGATACTACTTTTCCAATCTGTTCCTTTTAGTAATATGAATGTTTACGTGTAATACAAATTCAAAGTTTTGTTTCATTGTTGTTCTTATAAATTGAAAAATAAATTCCTTGGTTATTTAAAAAATAAATTTATTCAAGAGGTGGTTGAGATAAGCTTTGATGCATGTTGCCTCTCAAGCTAAAATCAGTTGGCTTTGAAAGGATTTATTATTTACCAGAAAAATACAACTCATTTTATTATTCAAAAGTTTTTGTTATTTAAACATTAAAAATTCTTAAAATGCTACTTTCCATTTAATGTGAAATGTATTTTTTCCCTCTGAAAGGCTGGATAACACCTTAGAGGAAATTATATTTAAGTTGGTGCCTGGACTTCGAGAACGTAAGTTTCTCACTTGGTTTTGGGTACCTTCTTGGGTTGATGGAGGGAATATGGCTATTTTTAATTATGTATCTGTATTATTGATTAAAAAATTCACATTACTGTTCTTTGGTATTAACTAGAGGAACTGCAGCGAGAGATCGAATTTTGGAAGAAAAACAAACCTCAAGAAAATGGACAAGGTAATGATTTTTTTCTTTCTCGTCTGTGTGTTAAGTAACATTGTTCATTAAGACCTGTTTGTTCACTTACACAAGTACATTGTTTTTACTGAATTCATGGTACTACAGAAACTTGTAGCAAATCTGTGTAAGTGTAGTGTGGGCCATTATGTACTGCTGCTTATATATTAACCAGCTGTTATACAAACACTGACTCTTTTACCATTATTTTTATTTGCATTTCCCTATGCTCTCACTTGTAACACTCTCATGATTTCCCACTTAAATTCTTAATTTTCTTAATACAGCAAGATACAGATTTTTTTTTTTAGAGTTTTTACAGATTACTTTCTGTTACTGAATGTGACCATCTGTTAAGTAGGAGGTTGTCAAGAATTAGTTACGACAAGTAGTAAAACAGTTTTCCACACATGCTAAACAATTGTTTTATATAGATTCCACAATGTTGTGGGGTTTTTTTGTAGTTGACCCATGAAGTTTGAAAGCTCAGTATTGAGGTACTAAGGGAGGACTACATCCAACTGTTTTAATGCCCTTTTAATTTGGCAAGTTTTTGATACCACAGCCTATTTGATATGATTTTGAAGAACTTTTGAAAAGCTCTGCTAAGTTAAAGAAATAGCTCATTTTGGTAAAGAATAACTGTCAAGTAAATATCTTGTAATACTCTTCTGCACTCAATTGTTTATATCTTCCTTTCAACTTCATAACATTTCATTTTCTTTCTCACTGGTTTTGATGATTTGCATTCGGCATCCATTGTAAGGGACAAGGTTATTTTCTGTGTTATATAATTAAATGAAGAACTGCAGAACAGTTTAGATGAAGTTATATTACTTTACTATATCATACTATGTAGTGTATACCTGTTCAGTTTTAAAAATACTTAAAAAATATTTATGTAAAGGATAGACATTTCTTAACTGTTTAGAAAATTATTTTCTGCTATATACATAAATAGAAAGAATTAACACTGCATTTACAAACTTGTAGAATGTAACTTTTAACCAACTTATTCTTCTGGTTTTTACCTTTCTCCCACAGTTTAATGGTAAACCTAATGGAGATGAGTTACTCAGTGTAGTGAGAGTTTGGATTGTTTTGTGAAGGAAAGGCAGGCTCTAACTGTCAAAATATGCTTATGAGTAGCTACATATGTATCCAGCTCCATTAGTGACTGTATTCTTGGGCTATGAAAATTTGGCTCTACAAACCATTTAAAAGTCATGACAACTCATTAAGACAAATTATGAGCATTGAAGCTGTTTTCTGCCGTTAACAAGCATTTAGAATTTTGCCCAAGAATGAATTATTTGCTGATCATAATTTCAGTAAGAAGAGACTGTTTCAGTTGTCAATACCATGCCCTGCAATCACATTGTCAATCTGGTTTAAGAGCCTGTCAGTTATGTCCTGTACCACAGTTTACAGCATAGTTCCCAACCTTTGCATCTAAGATGTGTAAAAAAATCCCAGGACTTGGTTTTCACACATCAGAAGGGGGGGAAAAATCAAAGAACAAAACATGTCTCAGGCATTGGTGGTGTCAGTAGGAGAGTGGTCACCAGAAAAGATTAATGGATGATGAAATGCACAGTGGTACAGAGAAAAAAATATTCATTGGTCCTCTCCAGCCTGAACTGGGGAAGGAAGAGGGCAAACAGCTTTACAGGAACTCACTTGCTGATGATTAGTTTTATGGTCAATATCTGAGAAATGCACAGAAAGTAGACAATATCCAAGGTTTGAAAGAAAGATGAGAAAAAAAAAGAGACACCAGTTTATTCCCTTGGGAAAGAAGGGTGGAGGTGAACAAGGTTTTGGTTTGGTTTTCCTTTCCTGTTCTTGGCTTGATGTTTTTTGACTTGGAGAACAATGAGCCCATTCTGGTGAGATTAAATTTATTTCTTTTTAAACTTCTATCATATTGAACTTTAATAACATGCTTGTAATGGACCATCACATTGATTTCTGGAGGCTGCCTGTACAAACATCATTAATTCTAATATTTACAAGGTTTTTTCAGAAAATGTTCTGATGCCATTTACATGGGGGAACATTTGAATTTCTATCGGGATACCTTGGAAGATGTGACCTTTTTTGCATGTTTACCAGTTTCTGGAATTATTTTATGATGGGAAATTTCCTAGTTTCCCTAGTTCTGTAGTTGGGTTTTTTTCCAAGGCTTTTCAAATTGCATAACTAAACTTTCCTCTATTATTCAGCATTGATAACTGTTGAAAGTTGTTGATGTATTTGCAGAAGGATCTGTGAATCATAGGCAGGCGCTCAGATAAATGATTGTGATGGGTAGACTGCACCTGCTGAATTAAGAATTTGCTTCCTGGACTTTCACAAACAAAGAGAAAGAAATCTGTAGTTTGATGCTTAAATTCTGTTCACAGGAAGATGATAACAAAATGTGTATATGATACACAATCAACTGAATGTGTCAATAGCTAATAAGGGATTTAAGGACAAATATAATTATAAAATAATTAAAAGTTGTAAGAAAGAAAACTAATGAATGTAGCTTAAAATTCACCTTGAATATTTAAACTGAACAAAAGGAACTAATTACTGTGTCAAGAAACTTAGTCCTGGCTTGGTATTTATTCAAATTTATGTTCTGTTTTCTTACCTGGACTCTTCTAAATTACTTTAGAATTATCGTAAGTGTAGGAAAGCAGCAGAATTTGATAGGAAAATTTTTCAAAAGGATGCATAAGCATCTTATTCAACTTAATTGTGATAAAGTTTTATTGCAGCAGAGAACAGCCTTTGTTTTAAATCTAAATAAATAAATGGAATATGGAAAAAACCAAAGGTATACAATAGGATTATTGTATACTGTATTCCAAATATGTGAAATTTACCCCATTTTACGGTTATTATTTACATACATTGCGGACTTATCTAGATCTACTTGCTGGTCTCAGCATTCAAGTGTTCAACTTTGCTAAACCATTGAAAATTGTAGAAAATGTTACCTTTTCCAGAGGGGTAGAATTTTAAACCAGGAATCCGTAGAACATTTTAAACCAGGAATTTTAAACCGGGAATCCATGTTAACAGTATCAGTGAAAAGGGATAACACATTAAATGTGATTTTGTAGGATATATGTGCTCTTCTGAGAAATACTGCGACCTTTCCTTTCTTATTATTTTTTATTTTTAAAGGGGAATAAGTAAGTGCACAGTTGCAGGCTTTTAATTACCAGACACATCAGAAGTAGACAGCTATAACCATTATAGTCCATCAGACTAATTATTTTCTGTTCCGTTGAAATCCACTGTTTGCAGATTGCATTAAAATTTCAATAGGAGAAATTTGTTTTCAGAGATTTTTAAGTTGGTCATTAAAGAATGCACTGAATTAAAATTGTATAAATTAATTTGAAGAAAAAATATGCACATGAAAAGGTTGTATTTCCTTAAATATTTGACTTTTATTTACTTTACACTTAAATAATTTGATCTTCATGTTTTACAGATGAAAGTCCAAAAGCTGATAGACCCAAAGTAGATGAGGAGTGTGATGAAAATGAAGAAGATAAAGACTATCACAGGAGTGACCCACAGATTGCTATCTGCCTCGACTGTTTACGCAACAATGGGCAGTCAGGAGATAATGTAGTCAAAGTGAGTAGTAAACAATCTGTGCTGTTGTTACTGATGGCAGAATGGAGGAACCAAATTATTTTATAGCCATTAACAATAAACCTCAGTGTGGTGACCTCTACCCACTTTCCACGCTTATTTAATCCTTCTGTTTGAGGCATTTCAATGCATCTTGGAATTTTTTTAAAAATACGGTTCCGTACAGGAATTCATCCGTGACTGTGGAGGTTTTTTTGTGTATGGATTATGGTTTTGTAGTGTACAGCCTTGGTGGTATATCACTGCATTACACAGCAGATTACAGCATACCACAGAGGTGCTTATAAAGCTAGCTGTAGGTGAGCTGCCTCATACTTTCAGGATTACTGTCTTAACATGCCAGCATGAACCTGCTTTTGAGATGTGTTGTGCACTGAATGACTGGGATCCAGATCTTCTGAGCTGTAAACCTGATTCTGACACAGGTGTCTTGTCTGTGGCCTTGGGCAGGTCACCTCCATCTGCAAACTCTGTAGAGTAATACCTGTCAACTGCTGTTTTAAGAATTAGGTATATTTAGTTTCTGTTCCTGAAGGGGATTACCTAATGATATTGAGTACAGAGGAAAGGCTTTAGAAATCCCCTTAGATTTTAATAATGTTTTATTAAAATACAAATAGAAGAATTTTTTAAAAACATATAAAGAATATTTCTAATAAAATTACTTATATTTTCTGTGTGATATGTTACATGTATAATTTCGGAAGTTCTTAACACAGTAAGAAAGTTTTGATTCATCAAGAAAACATACCTCTATGTTATCACTTTGTTTATGCTTTATACGGTGAGAAATCTGTGTCTCCATCACCATGTGAGAGTCTCAGGCTTCCAATCTTCTGTTGAGTCAAAATCATTAGGTTCTGGATCACAGAATCTATGATAATAGATCATGTCTCAGATTTATAGCTTCTCTGTATTTTACCTAGATTATTTCAGAGTGTCTTTGCTTCCTTTTTTTCTCAAGGACTTAAGAACTTCAAAGAAACACAACATTTGTTTAAACCCGAGTGTTACTAACACAAACATGTAGATTATTTAAGCTCTTCTGGAGCTTTTCATGGTTTTATGGTAGTTGGGCTTTGGTTTTTTCCTTTCCTCCCTTTGATGTCTTTCAGACATTTTTTTTTTTTAGAACCAGAGATGAGTCAAATGAGCTTGTTTGTATTGTAACCTTTTAAATTTTGCGAAAAAATGAACCTGTTGTGCTGTTATGAGTTAGAAGAGAGTGCACGAAAATTGGTTACTGATTGAAAAAATGATTAGTTAAAGCTGCTCTTGTACTAAAGATTGCTCTAGTTTACCAGAATGTCTAACAAGGTTTTTCTAATTTGTTGCTGTTGCTTTAGGGTTTAATGAAGAAATTTATCCGCTGTTCTACTCGAGTGACTGTGGGAACTATCAAAAAGTTTCTCAGCTTAAAATTGAAACTTCCAAGTTCTTACGAGGTACATTTGAAAGAAAAATACTTTTGTTTTTATTTCCCTGAAACATAATACATTCCTGTGAAATTTAATCATGTTTGAACCTGCTTCCCCTCTTCCCAAGGATACAGGAATTTAGACTGAAGGACAATTTCTTCAACCAGTTCTCTTACAGGAGCCAATGACTCCATGAACTGCAGCCTCCCAGCTTCAGTCAGGGATAGGGCTGAGTTAGGTTAGGTGCACGTGTGTTGCTGCGTCCAGGTGTTTGTCACAGTGTCATGACATGCTGACCAGCCTTTTTGGTGTCATTTGGCTTTGTTATTTTATCTCTCTTGCACCTTAATGGCTTCTGTTACAAAGAATCTGTTTTCCTCAAAATGCTTTTTTTCCTCTAAAAACCAGAAAAACATTGTAGCTCTAGTAATCAAAATATTGTCACACATTTTCAGTGGCGCATAGCTGTGACATGCTATAATACAGTTTAAATTAGTCATTTTTCATAATCAGATGATTATTTTTCTCTGTCTTTTGCTTTCAGTTAATGAATGTTAGTATACTCGGAAGTGCATTTTTTTTGTAATTTATAATTATTTTTAAACTAATTTTTTAAAATTACTTTGTAATTTATTTTTTGTATGACAGTTACGGTACTTCTGGTTTGTATCTTTGGGTTTGAAAGAATATTGGCATAGTAAGGTGGTCTTCTAAATACAGCAGAAGTCTTTTTCTTCAAACAGGTACTGTGTACTATTGCTAAATATAGGGAATGTTTGTCTACTAGTGATTTCCTACCTCACTGGCAGACTTCCTTCAGTTCACACTTCAAATGAAAACACAAAAGTGAAAAAAAATAAAGTGGAATAGTAGTGTACAAATTAGCATATTGTCAGCGTGTTGTATTCATCCAGGTTTGATATACATGTCTGATAGAACTGTTGTATAATGATAGAAGTTGAGGGATTAACTCTGAGACGCACTTAGGAGTTCATTTAGATACTAAAACTTTGCATCCCTTTGTCTTACTGTTTGTTCTGTTATGTTTTAAGCTGGATGTACTATGCAACGGAGAAATTATGGGGAAGGATCATACTATGGAATTCATCTATATGACAAGATGGAGACTAAGAGGCGAAAACGTAAATACTGTTACATTATAAATAAATGATGTTTTGGTATATTTGTTATAGACAGTGTACATGCTTTCAGGGCTTGGTCCAAAAATATAGTCTATGATTCTTCAAAAAACCCTTACTTAAAAATGCCTTTTGCATGTTTTCTGGATTTCTTATGTAAAACCTTGTGAGGGAAACCCTGCAGCACATATATTGAATAGATTCTGAAACTTCAAAATAGCAGATATACAACATTTACATGCAAGTTCTGCTCCAAGTTTTAAGTCAAGTGTCCGAAAACTCAAGCGCTTGTTCTTTTCCTGCAAATGTGCTTTTGGTGACCTTTTGAGTTACAATAGTTGGCGAATCTGCATCCAGCAGTTCTTCAGTAAGAACCTGCTTTATTCAGTCAGTAAACTGAAACTGACACTGGAAAATTATTGGTGAGATCTAACTGTTTCATTACTGTTTCTGTTAATGCTACACACATTTTTTTAGATGTACTGTTGTTCAACACTAACATCTAGATAACAGCCAAATGGGTTTTCCTTGCTGCATGTGTATATTTTTTAATAGCAATATTTAACCTTTTTACTGACATTTTTTTCAGGTCTGATACTCAGTTTGTTTTAGTAGCCCTTATATCACCTTGTATATTTAATTTTTTTGGTTAGAAGTCATATCCCATTTGTTTCCCTTTCTTTTATACATTTGTCTCTGTGTGGCTGTGGATTGTTCTTCAGTCTTTATTGCTTTGTAGTATATGCAGGGTTGTTGTCTGTCATTACTACTGGAAGCTAAATTGAGAGTGCAGCTAAGGTTAAGCATTTAACATACCTTAATTTACTGATCTGTGGAAAATTCCAAACTTTCTATATTCTTTTTTTTGTTTGTTTAAGCACCGTAGTGCTCAGAATAAAAAGCACTGGGACATGGGCAGGGAAGACAGAGGATTAAACACACTGTGGAGTTAACAATTCACAAGGATCTCAAAGTTTTACCTTAATCTGAAGCAGCAGGGGGGAGGATAGATTTTGATAGCAATTAGGGGATTTAGCGTACGTAAGCAAGTATTCATTAAATTTGAGAGTAATATTGCACTGAAATTTGTTGGTTGCTGAAACCACAATATTGCACGAATAAGGGAGCTTAAAGTAGTGTTTTTTCCAGGACTGTCTTGAAATCAGTGGGTGTTTGGCTTGCCATTTTGTATTTTTGTTAGCATTGGCTGTACTATTAGGAAGCATTGAGGCAAAAACTTTAATGATAATGGGATTTTTTCATCCTGCAGCACCTGCCTACAGATGGACTTTTGGCAGGTGCATTGTATTGGAAGCGACAATAACTATCATTTTGACAAAAAAGACATTTGTACTGGTGAAAGTTTTTCAAAAATCTCAGAACTAGAGCTTTTCATGTTAAGTGAATATAAAAGTCGACAACTTGATTTCAAGTTTGGTAGTTGTGTTTATATACACAGAGTATAGTCAGTTATGTGTTCATCGTTTATGTAGTTTTAAATCACTCCCCTGAAGTCAGAGATGACTAAAACCTGTAAAAATTAAACTGCTGTTAATAAATCCAGTAATATATAGGCTTTTACAATTTTTTTCCCTTAATGAAGTTGCAATGGTAATTAGTTAACAACGTCTTCTTCTGAATGAAGATCAAATAAGTCCATTATATACATCTTTGGTAGTATTGGCCATGAGCTTTTACTGGCATACCTGTGGACCTTACATGAGGTAGACAAGTAAAGGGAAAATGTCCATTTATTCATTAGAGAAGTCTTTCCTGTTTTTAAATAAGTAAGTTAACTGTGAGTTTTAAATTTGAAAAATTAAAAAAAAAAAATATTCTCTAAATGTGTATGTCCAGCTGTGGATGCCTCTTATCTGATCAGAAAATCATCTCCTTCGCAGTTTCGGTGTCAGAACTGCTCATCTTCGCAAGTCTGCTCACAGGATGGCACTTTTTATCAGGTAAGAGGCACTCACGACTGTACATATTACAGTCATTAAGGTCCTGTCAGCACTTCAATTGTAATTCAACTTGTGGAGTTTTTATAATTCCTCACACAAAGTGCTAAAACTCTGTGAGCGAGGCCTGAGCATTTTCATTCCCTCAGTGCAAGCTTTACTGAATGAATAAACACAGTCCATTCAAAAGGTTTTTTACTTTACATTAGGCTGTTTAGGGGTTTTTTAATGGAGAGATACCCTTCTGTAGAGTGATATCCATATCAGTCTCAAAGGATTATCTACCTCTTCCTATCGCATCCTTCTAACTAAGCAGCATTGGGCAGTCCCTGACAAGGGTTCAGAATTGAAGAGTGTAAATCAAAGAAGACAGCGTTGGTTTCATCTCTTTATGGGAATCATTATGTCCTTTTTAATGGAGTAGAGAAATGTTAGATTTTTGTAAACTATATTTCTTTCATGTATTTTAAAATTAGAAATGGAATAATGCCTTAACTTCTAGAATATATAAAAGAGCAAAATCTACAGAACCTGCAAACTGAAACTGATTTCTAAGTTTAATGACCAGTCTGGTTCATATCAATTTGAAATGATATTTCAGTTTCCTCACTGAAAATTTTTATTTGAACTTCTTTCTAAAAGTTACTTTGCAAGTTTGAAATAATATTTTTGCATGAGTCAAAAATTAAAGCAAGTGATAGAGGGTCACTCTCCACTACTGATGGCGGAGCAACCTACTGCACTCATGCTTACTTCAGTAGTTGGAGTTGTTCCAGCACAGTGCATTTTATTTGTACAGTTTTGTAATTTTGTTTGCAAAAACACTGAGCCTCACTGGTTTACTTGGCAATTCAGTGAAGTGACTGCTCTATCTCTACCTGTGTGCAGTTCCAATATGATTTGTGTACTTTTAGAGACAATTTATATAATCAAAGTGAAAACCATGTGAAATAGCATTTAAATAATATGGTAGTCATATCCTTTGCAAATGAAAGAATAATCAAAGACAAGTAATTTATGGTACTACAGATAAAAGTTTGTTAATTGCACATGCAGGCTATACATGGTGCTCCCTGTCTTCTCTCCTAAATACTCCTGATACTGTTAATACCTCTTGGTTTAGGTTGTGATTACTCTACACTCCGGTTTGTAAATCCCCTGCAAGTGTGATGGCATTTAGTTCTTGTGATCATTTCACTCTCATGTCATGGAAAGTTTATTAACCCATATAGGCCTCTGCAGCTGTATCTTTGTTTCTTCATCTCCATTGCATTTAAAAGATGCAGCATAATATTTCTGGTTTTATTGATAGGTTCTGTAATAATTCTTTGTATTTCCAAATTTGCAATTAAAAAAAGCTTAAATGAGCTTTATTCCTTTGTTCTGTGGCAGGGAGGTATTTGAGATCATACACCTGCTGAACCAATGAGATTTTCCAGTGTTTTATGCTATAGAAAACATCTAGTACCTTAATGAAGTTAAGAGGAAAACTTCAGACTTAAATGAAATGCTGACAGGCTATAAAAGTAAGACGTTTAGTAAAACAACACTTTGAGCAAGGTGTTCTACAGCCCTGTTGGGAAACTCACCCAGTCTTGCCTATCATTTCACAACAGCTTTGTCCAATTCAGGAATCCAAGAAGAAGTTGACTTGCCTTTTTTTTTTTTTTTTCCTCAGTAGGAACTAATAAAAAGTTATCACTAGATCTGAAATTAAGGAGTTTGAATTTGGGGGAAAAATTACCTCTCATCTCTCAGAAAATCAACTGACACCAATTTGACCTCTTTTTTTTTTTTATAGTTTAGCTATGGAACCTCTGCATATATAAAATTCAAACAAAGTATACCACCTGTAAATTTACTTTGGTTTAGAAAGTAAAAAATTTCAAGACTGATTTTTATCAAGCGCAGCAACACAGAAATAAGAGTTGTTTGAGTACTCCATCTATATATGTAATAAAACACAAATATTTAAATATATGAAAGCAGATAGAGAAATTTTGTATCAATGACTGCTAATAGATTTGAGGTACGGGTATAGGTTTAACTGTTGTATGGAGTTGTTTCATATAAATAAAACTGTCATGTACTTGTGGCTTAGGGATAAGCACTGGCTATTCTTAAGGCAGTTTTTTAATTGCGTTTTCTTTGTATGGTTTATGAATTATGTCTTCATGTTTTCTCTGGTTTTCTTGTTGTTTTTCCCTTGCTTTTGTTTTCAGTCTTACCCTATGGTACTTCAGTATCGACCTAGAATTGACTTCGGTTAGACCAAAGGGCCAGATCCCACTGAGATGAATCCTGCACTATTTGTTTACCCATCGACAGATTGCACAATGAATGGATGTGCCTGGATTGGGGGGACACAGCCAGATTTTCAGCATGCAAATAAGGACATTGTCTTTCTTAAAATTGTCAGTTGCATCTCTGTTGTTTCTATTAGAGCAAGCCAAGTGCCATTCTGCTACTGAAATGTGCATAAGATATTTGTGTATCTTAAGGGTGTGCTGCAAATCATAGCCAAAATCATGAAATGTACAGTCAAGATTCAAAAACTATGGAATATTTTTGCTTGCGTGTTAGAAAATTTTTCTGGTCCTAATATTGATTACATTAGCAAAATGGCAGAGTGCTCATTCCATGTGGTGTTGCAGTTTCACACACTTACTATTTTACTGAATATTGTTGTTTAAATCATAGAGTACTGTACAAATAACTAAGGATTATACCTTGACGATATTTTGTATAGAAAATATATTTAGAAAAGTGGTTGTTGGGCCACTACCTTTTTCTTGATGAGGTTCTCATGGGTCCAGGTATAGCTCGCTCATGAGTGTGCAACAGTCCTTTTGCAGTGAATGAAGATTAATTACACTTAACAGGAGATGTAGAACATGATAATTCAAAACAGTAATTTTAAATCTTCTAAATAGATTCTACTATTATTGCTTAAAAGCATTGAAGCCTTTGTGATTGCACTTTTCTATGGTTTCCCTGAAGATTGGAATTTGGGATACTACCTATTTTTGGAAAATGGTTTCTGGTCAGATTACGTTTTTTCTAATTAAGCTTCCGCAAAAATGAAGCTAAAATAATATAAATGTCTATGGAAAAAATAAATTTCACTACAAAATTACAACCAAGGCAAAATTTTACATAATTATTACCTCTCATAAAAAGCATTTCCTTTCAAGATTGGATGGAGGTCTATAGTATGTGAAGACAAAAATAATATATAGCTTTAATTACATATTGTACCTCTTGCAACTATCTGGAGTTTAGAATTCATTACAGAAATTTTCATTAGTTAAAGTCACATCATAAAACTATTTCCATAAAATTAGAGGTAGTGCAATACTGAAGATAAGCAGTCTGACCAATATAATTGTTCAGGTCATCTTTTTTTTCTAAGACCTGGTAGTGCTGGATAAAGCGATTGTTGCCTTAGGTATTGCAAGCGTAATGGTTCTAGCATGGAATTTTTTTGGGGGTTTCGGGTAATGTTGCAGGGAGCATAGCAATGTGTATGTTTTCTGTAGTCTTCCATTGTCTTTGCTTAATAGTCAGTTGAGTTTTTCTCTTCAAGTTCTCTGGAGATATTTATAGTTCAGTAACTTTATGTAATTTCTACTTAATAGATGCCTGCTAGTGTTGTAGATAGCTATTTACTTTTTTTATGCCTTTTGCATACAGCAAAAAGGAACCAAATTAATTTTTCAGAAGCTACTGTAGAGTGAACTGGTCTTAGACAAAGTGAAAATTCTTTCTTGGGATCAAGTATAAAAGATGGATGCAAGGCTGTAAATCCTTTGTAAGTGTATGTCCATGTACATTAGTATGTTCTGTAGGAGAAATAAGCATGTTGTGGACTAAATCTGGCCCCTGTAATGATGTTAGGAGTTCTAACATTGATGACTTGAGGAACATCATGCCTAGGGCAGGTTGAATTCTACCATTGCACACCAAAGCCCATATGACACACAGAAATAAAGATGCTGTCGGTAGCAGTCTGTTTAGGAAACCTGCTATTGCAGGTCAGGTTTGCACATATTGTGCAGGTGCCAGTGGGACTGGGAAAGCAAAATGTTAAGGAAGTTGCTGCCCCTTTCTGCAGGCACAGTGTGCTGGCCGATACAGGCACGTGTTCGTGGGAAGGGGTGCATGTACTGGCTGCAGGGAGCAGTCACCTTTTTGCCCTCCCAGTCTGTGATGTGCTACTTGACAGAAAGAAAATTTTCCATGTAGGGAGGGCCCTTCTCTGCAGAGCCTCTGGGGAAAAATAGATTCTTTGTGTGTATAGAGGTTCTCCTCATGGAGCAGCTTGGAAGAGCAAAGCATACATTCTGATTGCGAATCATTTTTTCTCTTTAGTATACATAATTATTTTGTACAGTAGAAATAGGGTATTATTTGTAAATATTTACATGCACACACAAATGACACCTTACAGTTTTTATATATTTCATGTGTTTTTATACCAGAATTTTCACTGTAGATTTGCTTGACATAAAACACCTGTTTCAATTTATCACAAAGGTAATGGTAGGATGCTTAAGCATAATTTCTGCTTCGTTCAGGGCACAGTTCAGGGCTGAGTTTTTTTCTCAGCAATTGTACTTGCTGTTTTGACAAATTTGAACAGACTTGTTTTAAAAAGACAGGAATGCATCATTTTTAATCCATCCACCTAACAGGGCCCCTGTAATAGCACTGTTTTCGTGTTGCCTTTGGAATGGTTCCTAGTAGAAGCTTTCTTTGACTGTTTGATAACTTTCTGTATTCATAATTCAGAGAACTGTGAATTCTCTCGATCAGAATTGGACATTGTTTTAACTCATGGTATTTTCTTGATGCAAGTTAAATCTAGGTTACAGAAGACAAATCTTCATTTTAAGCATGGAAAATACTGACAGATCTGAATCGATGTTCCCAGCTAAGAATGGTGGCATTAAATGCATATGAGCTAACCACCTACACTTTATGCATTTCTGATTTGATGGCACAGTGCCCGAGTGCTGCTACAGTTTAATAGTTTTTGTAACAGTGAAGTGCCAGTGAAATACGTATCTTAACTGGGCAGCTTATATAGCACAGGCATTGCCTTCCTTACGGGAAATTTTTCTCCTATATAGTACATATGTGCCATATGTCTACAGATATGCATATTTAATTCATTTGTGCCAACTAAGAGTATCTGAGCACCATAGGAATATGAGAATGCATGTGTAGATTCCTGTGTGCCAAAGACGGGGTGAAGTGAAATGAGTACCTAAGTATTCCCTTCAGACTGCACCATATGCCATCCTAGAGCAGATGCCTGGATGGAGTCACACTTTCTGAGCATTCCATGACAAAGTGTCACCACTGCATGCTTGTAAAGCATAGGAATATAAGTGTTGCTGCCACTGTGTTTCTATGACTTTCCCATATCAGAAATATCTAGCTGCAGAGGGATAAGACCTAAAAAATTCTGCACTACTACCTAACCTTGCTGTCTCTTATTTAGCACATTTGGTGCTGCTTTGTTTTTCCCTTAAAGTGAAAAACTCATTCATTAGAGTCATAAGCAACTTTTTGTTCAGCATAGCTGATTGCTGCATTTATCTAGTAACAAGCTGTAAGCTAGAATTCACAGACAAGATCTTATAACATCTCAAACAATACGGAATTAGATGATTAACCAAGAAATGTATCTTCCATCATGCATTACTACACTGCTGGTAGCTAAGGGCCTAGTCCTGTAAACTTTTTTGTTCCTTTTAAATACCAAATAAGATTACTACAATAACTTAAGTGACTCACCACTATAGTAGGTACTGCTCACTTGAAAGCTTCTGGGATTTGGGTCCTAGGAGTATGCAATGCTGTAAGTATATTCTGCATACTCAGCTAGTTTGCAGTAATTGTGCAAAAAAAATATAAAAGTATTATTTTGACTTTATTGAAAATGTTATACAAAACAAAGTGCCTGATTATTAATACAGAATACCTTTTCAGCCCATTATTTGCATTTGACAGGGTAATATTTGCTTCTGTATTTTATCTATGGTCTTAATATTTTCAGCAAGAATATTTCATAAACATGCTGTACTGAGAAGCTTTCCGGGGAAAAAGGCATAAAAAGAAATATGCCCTTTTAGATAACTTAAACCCTATCTCAGTAGAAATTATATGAAAAAATACTTTTATATTGAAAATATTCCATTTTCTGCATAAGGGACCCTTTAATTCTGAATCTTGGTGTGTTTTCCTCTATAGGTTCCAGCAATATGACTTCACTTTTCTGTTATTGAAAACAGTTCTAGTGCATCAGGAGAAAAGAGATTGATCCCATTCCATTTAGAGAGAAGCTAGGCTCTTATTCTCTGATGCAGACAAAGTAATGGTCCAGAGTTTCATCTCATCTCTCCCATGTATAAGTTACACATGACCTTGTGAGAGACATAAACTATTTTTCCTTCTCTGCTGCTTTCAAAAATAACAAAATAGGCCAGGGTTTAGTCCTTTAATTGAATCAGTTACTGAGCTTTATCATTTGTGGGTTTTTTTATGTTTTCACGTAAGTGAAAACAAGAAGAGGCATCCACACCCCAGAAAAAACATTCTTGAGAGGACTTGCAACAAAAGAAATAGCATCCAGCTCAGCCAGATACTATGTCTGGTAGAAATACTAGAGAACAGATAGCTGTTCAAAGCCAATCCTAAATCTCAAAATAAACAGACTGAGCCTTGTGTATAGAGGGGCTACACAAAATACTGGGCAGTTACATGCACTGATTGAACTTATTTTTATCCTGGAAAAGTGCAAAGGCATTAAGATTTACATGCCTATCTAAGAGCTTAGTCCAGTTTCTTCACTTAATCTGACAGGGTGAAGGCATCTCTATGCTTCCTACGAAAATGCATATATCATGCAGCATATTCCCCTCTGATTTTACTTTGTGCTTTGTTATCTTATTATTTTCTCAGTTAAAATGTCTTAAGCAGGCACTTTCTGTCCTCTAATTAATTCTAGGTCATTACACATCTTTTACCCTTTCCCATACCCCACCCCATTTCATACCCAACAGGTTAAAACATTGAGGAATTATGAAGGCGAAATTGCCCATGAGGTGTCAGCTCACACGTTTCATTCATCAGGCAGCTCTCACAGATTTCAGCCGAGTTTTCACAGTTCTGCATTTTGAATCCTTTATAGCCCGTTTGAACAAGGTCATACTTCCACAAGGGGTTGAGCTAAATACACTTGTTTGAGTAAGGATTGCAGTCTGCCAGAGTGTGCTCCAAGATGAATAACAAGACATGAGGGGATTGATTCACCCTAAAGGAAATGTGAAAAGCTTCCAACTGCACATTTACCACTAATTTTGTGACATAGGGATTGTCTGACCTTCAGACCTCAGCTGAAACATCCATTGTAGGAATGTCCTCCAACAGATGATCTTGTAATGTTAATATATTTCTCTTCATAAGCAGACTTAGCTGTTGATTGTCTAATTGCTGTCTGCACTGTCTGTAGAGCAAATTAAAGCATTAGATTCCAGAATAGGAATTTGATTAATTAATGAATTCCTGACAGATTTTTCTATCCAAGGTATGTGCCATAAATCTTTTGAATTCAGGTAGCTTGCTGCTACAGTTGAGTAAGGCCGTGGTTTCATTCTCTAGTGAGCAGTTTGGGTCTGTGTGGTTCTGGAGTGTGGCAGTGAAACGGAGGAGCTCTGTAGATGGGTAGAAATGTCTCAGTTATCTTTTGCACTTGCAGAAGGAGACCATGTTCTGTAAGCTCAGAATAGAGGAGGATTCTGGAATGAAAGATGTCTACAAGTTGAAAGTTTTTGCCATTACATTAATTTTAACCAAAGAGAGGCATTCGTTTGACTTTGCTTGTTTTTCTGAACCATTAGGCATACTTTTCTTTGAAGTTCATACTAGAACTTCTATGTATTTTTAGGAAATACTTCTAACATGGTTGACAGTTGACAGGATGAGGTGAACAGAAGTAGCTACTGTGCATTTTCCTTTTTTCTTGTGATAGCGAGTGGAAAGCAAAGTAAGAGTTGAGGGAAGGTTGCTATTCGATACACAAAATCGCTGCAACAGTATAACATTTTGCTGCTAGTTAACATACTGAGGTTTTTATTACAAATGAAGTTGTAATGAAGATGTTTATTATCAAAGTGCAAGGCACATATTTTATGATGGTATTCTACTCCTAAAATTCAGTTTTGTATTGAGTATGGTAGGTATTGTTCCTGTTGCCTCCTGAATTTTGATGCAGTAAAATGAAATGGGCTCCCTTTTTACTGACAAATACCACATGCTAATCAATTTAAAGTCAGTCTTCATTGTCAGATATTTAGTTTGTTCAGAAAAAACAAGTGGGTTTTTTTAAATAAATTATTTTTATGGATAATCAGCAGAACTGAACCATTAGTAGTTGTCTGTGTCACTAAGCTGAAGGGTTAGGCACACCTAGCAGTTTCCAGAACAAAACAGAAAAAGCAAAACACAACAGGAATAGCATAAAGGTTAACAGACATGGAGTAGCTCTTTGAGTCCTAGCTCATGTTCCCAGAGAAAAGCACAAAGGCTTGCATTACTGATGTGTCTGCTATACCTGGCCTGTGAACTAACAAAAACTTCAGTGTGCTGTCAATCCTGTAAACCTTCCAAAGCACAAAATAGTCACCAAGCTACTTTTAGGATTTCTACTTGTAGTTCAGTGATATTTTGGAAGGTCAAAAGGACAGACTTGGAGGATAATGAGAAGATATTAAGTATGTTTTACAGATTTTTATAGCTATTTTTTTAGCAAATGGCATTGCTGTCCTTGATGTGAGACCATTGATTAGCAAGAAGTGATTAGTTTAATTGTGCAGTATAAAACAGAGACTAAAGAAATCCAAATATCTTGATTTCCAGGATAGTGATTAGCTAAACTGGAAAGTAATAGGTCAATTTAATTATTTAGCTGGCTGAAAGATTTCGTTCTAAATACTTATCGTATTTTTTTTCTCAAATACAAGCTTCTTAGCATAAACATGAAGCAATGCATCATTTTTTCCCTTATTGCAGACTTAACTATTGAAAGAAAAATATTTTGCATTTTTTTAAACTAATGCAAAGCCTGAATTGTTGGATGTTCCAGGCTACTGAATAGATGATATAGAGTTACTCTCAATGGATTTTTGGGGGTGGGGGCCTAAGTGTCCTTATATAAGCTGTGATCCAAGTTATGATAAGAAAGGAGCCTATGGTGAGCAGTAATAATGTTCTAATGCTTCCTTGCATTTTATCAGTAGTTACCAGTTTTTAATAAAGCAGCCCTCACAGTACTTAGGAGCTCATAGAACATATTGTGATCTTATGTTGCTAATTTGTTTTAAAATATAAAATGTTTTAAGCTTTTTGTCAAAAGTGATAACATCATATTACAAATAAACCTTTTTGTGGTTGTAAAATTTAGCTTATAAATCATTCAAATTGAAGTGAAAAAAAACACAGGTCATTGTTAATGACAGTCTATCCTACTATTAAGAATATATGTATTTTTGTAAAGGAAAAGCACTTGTAGATATTTAATCAGTCCAATATCTATCTATGTTAATGTTTTGGAAAAAAAAAAAAAAAAAGAAAACAGAATGCTGCTTAGAGAATCACATATTTTTATTTTTTGTGCTCAAATGCATTTTCTGTTGATTTATGGGATGTTGTTTATTCTGTGTGAAGCTGTATAGTTAGTACAGCTGGGCTAAATGCATTTCTCACCTTAATCAACTGCATCTGACTATGATAATATATTTTGTGTCTGAGCAGAAAGCTAATTTCAAAACTTAGGCTGGTGGTGCTGTTTTTCATCTTCGATATTAGCTTCATCCTGCCTTATAACTTTTCTACTTCGTAATAGGTATAAAAAATGCTACCCGTTTTTTGTGATGTATGTGTTTTAATGGACATTGCAGGGTATATTTGGTTATTTAGTTGAATCTTACTGTGCTTACAAACACTTTTATAAAAAGATGACACAATTTTACTTACAGCATTTAGAAAACAGTCTCCTGGATGAAAAAGTGTGCAAGATTAGTCGAGTTTAATACTTACTTTCCTACAGAGGAAACTACTGCTGGGTACATGCATGAAACATGATTGCATCACTAAAGTTTCTGAGAATTTAACATTTATTAAATTTAGAATTATTAATTTCTTGTAATATTTTGTAGCTCTTTGAAAACTCACTTTTAACTATATTTTGATTTATCGTGTTGCTTTAACACAGCTTCAGGGGGAAAAAAGAGTAAAGCAAAGAATTTTATTAAAGTACAGTAAAGAGTGGCAACCATATTTGTTTGTAGTTATTAGTGCACAATCCAAAACCTGTTTACTTATTTCAGTGGGATTCTACAGGGATATAATCTGGGGGCTAACGTGTTTCTCAGTTGAGTTCTTCAGCTTGATCTCAGTGGAGCGACTTTCTGCGATTGTCCTTGTAGCTAAGACTTGAATTTTCTTTCATGGATGGCTAATATTGTTTAAATTTATTCTTATTGTGTTAACCACACAAGTAAAAAAGTTTTGCAACACTGAGTGTGTACACTAGGAGTAGAATTCATTGTTAGGAACTCAGCTGACTAAATACTTGTGTCCTTTTCAAACTGGGGGAGGAATTGACTCAGAGTAAGAACATTTGAAATGGCATTCTCTTATTTGTATGCATGCTTCACGAAGGTTTGAAGTTGATCAGCATTTGATGTGTTTGTTTTATTATATGAACATTATCCATTTTTATAATTTTTGTTAAGACCTAATTTCTGTAATAATTCATTAGGGTTGACATCTCAGGGTCCACAAAGTAGCAGTTGAAAAACTTAAATCCATTTAATCTGAGTGCAATACAAATATTGCAGGCTTGTATCTTTTGAAGAACCAAATATGTTGTGTTTTGAAGTATTTTAAAAAGCACTGTAAATTTCACCCAGTTCTACCAAAGGAATGGGGGGGGAGGGTTAGTCTTAGAAACTGAGTGTGGCCCTGGAAAAAAATGATGAGACACCTGTGACTGTCAGCACTAGTGAGCAATTTTACAATTAGGTAAGGAAGTGCTGGTACTTGGGGGTTTTTTGGCAAAACCCCAAAGTCGTGCCTCTTGATGTAGAGCAAAGCGTGCCTGTTCAAAGCTGCATCGACATTTGTAAGCAAGATTTATTTTCCAAAACAGCTCATGCAAACCCTGTAAATGGGCCTTTAGAACTTCGTGTGTAAATTTATCTGCTATGTAATGATATTTCTAATAATGAACTACCTGTATGGCTCAGTACTGGTGATGTTGCATTGAGTGCTTCGTGCTAATGTCAAGAAGGTTTACAGCACCTTTATAATGGCTGGTAACAAATGACAATTTGGCCTGACCCATATGCTGCAAGATGCCTCTAGCCCAGTTGGATTAATTTTGTGAAAAATCTAGATGAGCAAGAAGTATAACTAATCTGCTTACTAGCACTGAATTGCTCCTTTCTCAAAGCAATAAATATATTCATGTTGTAACATCTGTTGTGCAGCCTACAATACGAGTTGTTTTGTTGCATTGTTTCTATATAATTTATTTTGTGCAATAAAAAAATCTCTGGTTTTATCTGACTCCTTTCTATTTTGTTATAATATTTGAATTAAAACATTTATCCGCTTTGTATCTTAATCATGGAAGCATACTATCAACTCAGAAATGCACAGTATAAAACAGAATGCAGGAATATTATGCATTATAGAAAAATCAGAGGGGATTCACATGGCCTAATTTTGTTCTAGTTAATGTCATAGAGTGTTATCATTAATTTTCCACAGGTGCAGAGTCTGCCTCACACTAAAGCTGACGGGATTTTGCACCCCATTTGTAAAATATAACCAGGTGGGTTACAGAGTGTGACTCTGTGTTTGAGGCTCTGTTTTAAAAAAAACATTTTCATAGAGCTTCTGCCACTTTTTTTTAACCTAATTTCACTGCCTTTTATTTTTTTTCCTTTTTGTTCTCTCCTTTTTGATGTTTTTCAGGGTTAATATAGTTGCAGTAGTGTTTATTGTTCTGTGCATTTACCTTCTGATTAGCCTTTATTATGTTGTTGGGTTGTTTTAACTCTAAGGTGGTGTAAAATGAATGTGTGTGCAAATTGGAAGCTAGAGGATATCCTTACTAAAGAGCCCATCGTGTGAACTAGCATTCTTCATACTATATACCGAGTTACTGCAAAGAAAAAGAATGGAGGGAGAGCTGTTATTCAAGGGAACTTGTACCTTTTATCAGTTATATGTTACTATGAAAGCTGCAGTACCACCATAGGATCTCGGAGATGTGGTTCCGATTTAGAAACAATAGAAAGGATTGTTGATTAAACCAAAATGATCTGAGACAAAAAAAAACATTTTTCATCTTCTTGTAAAATCCTACATGTTATCAGCAGAAGATAATTGCTTGTGAGCATAAAATGTGAAGGTATATATAGTATATGGCACTATGTACATATGATTAAATAACAATTGTTTGTTAAGTCACAATTATCTGTTAACAGTCAAAGAGCAGCTGTGGCACCACTGGCTGTTGTGTAAGCTGTGCAGATGAAGCAGTGCAGCCTCATTGTCTTTCTTTGAACCTTTTTCACGTGGGATATTTGACCTCAGATTTGTCGAAAGTCATAGACTAATACTTTCCCATCTAAAGGTGTTCTTTAAACTTAAGGTCACTCAGTGAAAAAAACCCTCAAACTTTACAGAATGCTTCTATGTAATACTATTACATAGTTTATGAAATAAAAATTAAATCGTATCTAAGTGCAAAATTCTGCTCCTAAGTAGGGAGCAATGTTTCCTCAAGCAAGGTTTCCATTGAAAATGCTGGTGGTTAAATTATTTTTAAATAATTACTTTGTTTCAAGTAGCTAAAGGGGTGGGGGGGGGACACATGCATAAAAATAGTAACAAATGCCTGATCAGTCATAAACCTGGATTATGTTTCATTGAAGGAGGAAGGTAGGGGGTGTACAAGCAGCTATTTACATCGGGGCATGGCATATGAATTTCCCTGTTAGAACTGTGATTCAGATTGCTTTCTACCTTGATTATTTTTTCCTGTTTTATCCTAGAGGAGAATATGCTATGCAATGTCATTATAGGCAAGAATAATGTTTTTCAAAAGAAAAGTGCTTTTGTAATTTAGGTTTCATTAAAGAAACAGAAATTTGCTGGCAGTGTGTAATAGGAGCACCTCTTTCCAGTGGCACACTTCCAACATCTTCATTTAGAAAGAAGACTGCTGCATT